CGACGAGTAGGGAGACTTGGTCTTGACACTGCCGTTCGGTGAGTTGATGCCGCCGGCCTTGAGCCTCTCTCGCGCCGCTGCAGCTGGATTTGGGGCGCCTGCAGCCGCATAGGCCGTGAAGGGCTTCCTGAACATGCTCTTCTGCTTCTGTGGCGCGGGCTTCGGCTGCTCTTGGGCACTGTTCTGCCTCGACATGCTTCCGCCACTGCCGTTGCGCGCCCATGGCTGGTAGTCTTCGCTGAGTAGTTCGACGAAGTTGGATGGGAACAGGCCGACCATGCGCCTGTCACGCTTCAACCGGCCCATCCACCAAGCTCCATCGCCGGCATTGAGAACTTCAATCAGGTCGCCTTCTATGAATCCGAGATCGCGTTTGGTCTAGTATGGCGTCAGTCAAGATGCAGCAGCAAGAAGCTTCCGTCTGAACATACCTCGCCTCCCCATGAATAGACAGCTTTGCACCAGCAGGGAAAGCGCACTGGGAGCGCCTGGCCGACTGCCATGTTGGGTATTATGTAGATGTTGTATTACACAGTACTTGGTGTTGACCGGCAACTTGTTTCGGGGCATGCACGGCGGGTGGATGACATGCGTTGATTAGAATAGTGAAAGGCGGCGTCGATTAGGTGTGGGACGCGCAAAATGCTCCAGCGAAAGACAGATGTCGATGGTAGCAATGGGAGAGAGCAGTTCTCTGTGGTCACGCCCCGATTGATAGCGGGGATGTGGTATGGTAAAGCTAAGCAGGGCCTATCGCAACCTGACGTCCCGTCTTGGTTGGGTAAACACGATTCAGCGACCGCTCCCCGGGCAACCGCGACCCGCACTGGCCAGGCTGCGGCCCACTTCGCCTACCACGTCACACAATCTTCAACTCTACACCGCGACATTCGCTTCATCTTGCGCACTCGCCCTGCATAACTGCCTTGGTTTCGCATCCAGTTGCGCATAACTGGCGATGCTGCATCTCCACTATGCATTGGGCCGCTATAGAACTACTGCGCTGGCGCTCTCGAACAGATGTTCCCACCATCGGGCACACTCTACCCAGCTGTCTTGTTGTTGTACGCTAATGTGAACAGACCTCTAGCCCTCCTACTAACAGCGGTCTAACGGCAGTAGGCGCGCGCGACTTGTCGCCTTGCCTGCGCTCGGGTCACCAGCTGAGTATACAAGGCTGGCTGATCACGATCCACAATCTGTCGACCAAATGCCAAGCCTCACACCCCATCGCCATCATCACAGAAATCAAGGAACATCCAACTGAGGTAAACGCATTGTAATTTTGTCAAAAGCTACTGAGATCGTGCGCTATGAATGCGGGCAAAGGTAGAAAGTAAGCACCACTAGGGCGTGCAATGTGTAAAAAAAGACCGATTCCTCCTCAACTTGACTGCCTGATGGAACACCAGTGAGCGAAACGAGTCGCTTACTGTCCGTTCCAAAGCTTGGGGCCGGGCATGGGGTAAGACTTGGGGTTGTTCCTAGGGCAATGTCAGTATGTCTGGTACTAGTATTCCGTACGGTTGGGATGAACTTACCACTTGTTGAAGGCAATACCGGCGTCGTTGGCCTTGTAGAGACCGGGGATCTTGACAGTGGGGGAGAGCTTGCCGGTACCGGAAGACTCAATCTTCAGCTGGAAGCACTCCATGTAGAACTGAGCCTTGCCGACGTGGCCCTCGTGGATGGCGATGTGCTCAACGCGGACAAGGTACTCGCCAGCAGGAATGCTCTTCTGGATGGTCCACTCAAGGCGGTCCTTTTGCCAGCTGTCCCAGGCAGTGTCGACACCGGGCTGGCTGGGGTTGATGAGGCCGCTCTCCATGACCTTGGTCCAGTCACCGCTGCCATCGTAGTTGGCGACGCTGCTAGGGGCCTTGGAGATGTAGACGAAGCCCGGGCCGGGGTGCTCGATCTTCTCGTTGAAAGCGAGCTTGAAGCCAATCTTGTCACCGGCCTTGACGGTGTAGGTGGGAACACCTCCAGCCTTGGCTCCCTTGTTGCACCTCAGGTCGGGGGAGTTGACGATGTCGGCAGTGAACGAGGGCATGTAGGAGTTGGTGTTCTTGCGGGTGTAAGCATAGTCACCACCAATGGCCTGGTTGTTGACCATGAGGCGGTTGAAGATGTAGTGCGCATCGACCGTCAAGGGCGCAAGAAGAGAGAGGATGATTGAGGCCTTCATGTTGATGGTAAAGAATGAATATGTTCAAAAGAAGTGAATGTAAAAAGTTGGAAGCGAATGTACTGGTTGGTATCGAATGCTGGATGATTGCGATGATTTTTACAACACGGTAACCACTGCGATACTTATACAAACCAGTTTCCCAGCGTGGTTCACCGCATCGTTCCGCTCCATTGGAGGGATATCCATTTTTCGGTCCCTAAATTTCATCAACACCCATTCTCTTCATCTAATCTACACGGCGCCACCCCACCCCCAAGGCGTCATAAGCCATCATAAGCCCATAGTACCCAGTCGCATAGAACGATTCTTTTGTTCTAGTCTCACTTTAAATGAAAACAGGAGTCCCAACCACACGTTGAAACTCATTTAAGCGGTGGAAGAGCCGTGCCAAGCCTCGACAACACCAACACAACGACAGCGGAAACCGCTGTCGCCAAGATCTGGGGTGATCATGCGTTTCACGTTTTGAATCTCTGGCACCTTGGCGAATATGCACCAAAAGAAACCGCCGATATTGGAATTCTCCTATTCGCTCCGCGGATACCACCCGGGCGGTGTAGTGCTCCACTACCCGCGATGCGAATCCGATTTCACGATAGCAATGGTCCGTCGGCTGCCGATATTGGTCAGCGTAGCGTTCGGGCCACGGTCTCGACTTCCGAACTGTTCTGAACGAGATTGGTGGTGAGGCGGAAGCTTAGCTTCACACACTCGCACACACCACATGTCAGCGGGAACGGAACGTCCAAGCCGCCGTGAATTTCCTCCTCTCGCAAGGATGCCTGGTAGACAGGTGACAGCTTCCTTGTCAATTGCAATACCGCTACATGCCAAGGCTGCGTTGTTGTACAGGATCGGCCGCACAACTTCTGGAAACAGATCAATATAGTCGTGCGGTGGCGTTGGACAATTAGAGTAGGTGGCACGCCCTGTTTCTCCTCGCTGGCCCACGAGTCGATGCGTGATTGCAGACCGCTTCGTCCAGAATTCTGAGAGCAACGGATTCCCACGCAGGTACGATCTCACTGCTTTCTTCACTGACGAGTCTTGTCACTACGCATGGAGATACTCACGAGCATAGATACCATCACTCAACCAACCCACCACTCTTCCGAGCATCGCTTTATTCCAGACGATCGAGTCCTCGCGATCGAGTCTGTTCGTATGGTACTATCAGCCTACGATAACGTCTCCCACCTGGTACATTCTCCCTCGTAACTTGTCGATGCTGTCGAGGATGCTATTCAGCATCTTCTCCCCTTCGTTAATCTTCACAGACAGTTTTACAAGCATGACACCGAGCTCAGGGCCGTAGCACTGCCTCACATCGCCCTCCGTCGCGCTCAACAGAAACCGATCGACCTCTCGATCGAATGCCGGATCATTACGCATGAACTCTACAAACTCGAAGACCTGGTCTCGAATCTTGGGTGGAAATGCTCCGATACATAGTTTAGTCCTGCACATCGGACACGATGCATCCATCTCTTTATCGTTGACAACGAGCGTGTTGATCCAGGCCTGAAGGCATTGCTCGCCTATGTAATGGCCACAGATCGTCTTGACGGCTGGCTCTACATCATCCCGGTCAATCTGATCGGAGAAGCTGCGTCCGCATATCTCACACTCTTCGAAACCAGCCTCTAATGCTTCGTCCGTGGCGCGTTCCGTGAAGCCTTGGACGTGCTTCATATCTCCCATGGTCATACCGATATCCATAATGTTAGCCGAAGGCTCACCCAGGGATTTCCACTCGAGGATAGTCAGATGGCCAATATGCAAGAACAAGGACGACCATTCCTCGGATGTGGGTAGACATATGAGCTCATGTTCACATGGGGCCAACATCCACTGCTTGTCTTGTGGTAGAATCAGACACTGCTTGGCTGGATCGTCCTGCCAAGTCCCCTGGCGTATGTAGCGTGGATAACCTCGGGCAGGGAATGTATCCAGGTTCCTCTCGGCCTTTTTCATCAGCCAAAGTATGCGCGCGATCACCAATGTACGTCCGGTGCATTCTATATCGTGATCCGGATGGGCTGGAATATATGCAGTGGTATCGTAATCCGGTAGGGCAAATAGCTCCTTCCCCTCTTTGGCGTATCGGAGCTTACGCTCGAGGCTGTGAAGTTGTCGTAATGACTTTAGATATTTGTCGATGAGAGCTTTGTTCCACTTCTCTTGTAGGGAAAGGATTGAATGGGGCTCTGTTAGATCCATTAGGACTGTCGTCTTCAATTTATGAATGTGGACGTCGCAAATCTGGATCGCGTTGGTAAACTGGTCGAGTATCTTGACGACATCTTCATATGCAGACTTCAACTGTGGCTGTGTCATTCCCTCGATGTTTGTTCTTTCGAGAAGGCGCTCGACTCCTGTATGTATCCTCTTACACTCATCAAATAGAGTGCTTTTTAGAACCCGCACAGATATCTCACTTTCGTCTGCTGCTTTGAGGGACATGGTTGATGGTTCGTTCCTATGTACGGTTGAGGGTGGTTTTGGTGATCTGTCAGAGTCTTAATTCGACGCCCTATTATTATACAACAGATCTATCCGCAAGTAAGCAGGCAGCAGCAACCCATGGGGACTAAATCACTGAATCGTCTGTTGAATGACAATGTCAGCATTGTCTAAGTCGTGAGTTCTTCGAGGCGCAATTATACATTCACCTTACAGGAAAACACCAATATTTTAGCTGAACTTCACTCTCTTGGTCGCCTGTGCCTTCGCAACCAACACCTCTTTCTCGAGAGTTTCACTGCACTGCCAAGCATTCCAACTGCCTTGAGACTTACCAACGAACAAAATGGCACACCAAAACGAATTAAAAGAAATTGAGCTCCAAGTCCCTGACCACTTCAAGGCCTGCGAAGCCCTCCTCATACAGATCGACGCTTTCCCCGATGAATACCTCAACGGCAAGTTGACTCCCGAAAACTTCCCTTCAGTCTGTCAGCGTAGCGCCAAGCTACTCGAAGATATGGAGGCTGCTCTAAGTGAAGCCAGGACCAAGGTCTCGGTGGAGAACAAGCATATGTGGGTAGAGCATTGGACTTGGATGCAGCTGTATGAGGAGGGCGTGGCGACTATGGAGCAAATCAACAACAAGCTACATGGTCCCGACAGGCGGGAGATGATATTGACGCAATTGATAGTTGTACGTGAGTCTGCAGACAGAACGACAGACCTTCTAAAGCGCATGATGGCGGCGATGGATCAGAGGGAGAGGGAGGCTGCTTTGGCGCCGTTTTCGCCAGACGGCAATTGATGTATGTCATTGATTTATCAACTGAGCGCGTACTGGTAGTTGGCTAGATAGCGTGAAGTAGAGTTCTGACAAATCCAAATTTCGGATCGTGACGATTGCTGAACCCTCATATCGCGTTGAATGCACGCCGCGACTGTGCGCTACGTGATGGCTCAGGTATCACCAACAAACTCTTTCCGATCATGTTGTCGGTGGGTGCAATTCAATGACGAAGTCATCACTTCATCCATTCACTGATCATGAATATTGATGTGTGGCGAAGGCGATCTCCCTCAGCCAGAGGCACAGAACCTCTTAACATACCTCTGCGAATCATTATACACCAGGCTCGATACGACCGAAATTCCCAAAGCCCACGGAAAAGCCTTGGTACTGCCGGACACCTTGCTCGCTCTCCAGACTACATCTCAGCACGTCAGGAGCCTCAGCACCGGCATTAGTAATGGACCCCAGGATAGTCATGATGATGCGACAGATGCAGCTGGAAATGCAGATGAGAGCGCAGTTGGAAGAGGCGCAAATGCAGGGCATGCCGCTAAGACAACGCCTGCAAATGGCGGAACAGCTGCGCATGAGAGCGATGATGATGATGGGAGCTCAGCGCGAGCAAATGATGGAGACGCATCAAGAGCAGATGATGATGGCCGCATATCGACAACAGATGATGGCAGAGCAGATGCGCATGGCTGGCGGTGGTGCAGGAGGGCCGATGCCACCGGGCGGCATGCCTTTCCCGCGGGGCCCGATGTTTTTCCCAGCAGGTATGGGCGGGCCGGGACCCGATCCTCGAAATCATCCGCGAGCTGAATCTCCGGACAATACTTCGGATACCGACGGGCCTCGCGACGCTGGGCCCGATGGAGGGTTGCCAAGACGCGCTGGGGTTCGCAACGGACGACCTGGAGTTGTGTATGGAGACTGGGAGGTCGAGGAAGTAGAGGATGAGAAGTAGAGAAGCTCATGGTGTTGAGCACGCTATCTGCAAAGCTCTGCGCGATTGAGTCTGCCGTACAGCGCAAGGGCAGGGTTATGTGCCATTACTATAATGACCCAAGGCTTGCAGGTGTCCATGAAATCTTGATAATAGCCAATATACTCTTCATAAAGTTTTACCGTTGCAATTGTGTACGGCCATACCTGCGCAATTGGCCTCCGTGCACATGACAAATGAAAACTTGAACTGGCGACGGAGCTTGAAAATAGTGCACGAGTCTTTGGTCTTCCGCAGTGCTTCAAGTCGAAATCCATGGTCGCGGTCTCATTAAGCTCTGGGGGTGGGCTTTGCCGCGCCGCGAAGGATCAGAGGCTGTGATGATTACTGATAACTAAGGTGCCGCTGTGCCGTGGTAAAGTCGAGGCGTCAGAAGAAAAGCACGAGAGCAGTGCCTGCGACCAGGTCGCGATAGCTCCTGTTTCTACCCACAGTTCTTATTCCCATGTGGAAAGTAAATCGCGAAAGATCGTTGTAACGGTTGTCGAACGACAGGTGGTACTGGAGGGGAGGATGCATTGCGCAAGGTTTGTAATCGTAAGTGGGGCCGCCGCCTTCTCCGCTTCCCAAAGAAGGAACAACCACCGCAAGCGGGCAGAATTGCCGGTCTGGTACATCATCCTACAAGCTTACCTATCACCTATGTAGCCGACGCGATTATATAGCATTGAGGGCGATGCCGTACATAACATCTCTGATACATTCTGGCATCTAAAATGCATTCCGCGAACGGCCACACCAATGGTCACCAGCCACCAATCGGACCTCGGCTATTCTCCGTCAAGCAACCACCATCACTGGACGAGTTCAAGAAACTTATAACGGAGTCTGTTCCCTGCCACTACCCACTAGCAAGCAAGATCGAAGCGAATGTGCCGATATATGATCTGCCCGACTATGCTTCGCTCTCCCCAGAACAACGCGCAGCATTACAGGATGAGTTTTACCATATCCTGCTTTCCGGACCAGGCGTGTTCGTCACCAAAGGTCTCTGCAAAGACGTGTCTCTTATCCAAAACGTAAACAACGTGTATGCAAACATCATTGCAGAAGAGAAGAAAGTGGCCGGCAAACGCGGCGACCACTTTGCTGGAGCCGGCGCGAACGATCGCATCTGGAACTCCGTTTCGAAACACTGCGAAAGAGACCCGGAGTCATTCGTGCAATACTACGCCAATCCATGGTTGCCGCTCATATCTGGAGCATGGCTCGGCCCACACCACCGCCTCACAGCACAAGTCAACATTGTAAAGCCAGGCGCGAAGGCCCAGATTTCGCACAGAGACTACCACATTGGCTTCCAGGACAATGAATCTTGCGCAAAGTTTCCGAAGGCGATGCAAGTCGCGTCACAGTTCCTCACGCTGCAAGGAGCTGTCGCGCACTCAGATATGCCCGTGGAGAGCGGGCCGACGCGATTGCTGCCGTTCAGCCAGAAGTTTGAAGAAGGATACATGGCATACCGCTTGCCTGAGTTCCAAGACTACTTCCTTGAGAAGTATGTATCTGTGCCACTAGAGATGGGGGACGGTCTCTTCTTCAATCCAGCGCTGTTCCATGCCGCAGGTCAGAATGACTCCGCCGATGTCATGCGTTCTGCCAATCTGCTTCAGATCTCATCAGCCTTTGGTAAGCCGATGGAATCTATCAATACGTATGCACTTGTTGAGAAGACCTGGGATGGATTGTTGGCAATCTATAAACAGCATGGTCTGAGCGATGAGCTCAAAGCACTCCTTAGCGTTGTCGCTGAAGGATACCCTTTCCCGACCAATCTTGATAGAAGGGTACCAGAGACGGCTGGCATGGCACCCGAGAGCGAGCAGGATGTTCTGATAAAGTCGCTCAAGGCCGGCTCTGAGAAGCAAACAGTGTTGGACACGTTGACGAGGATGCGAGAAGAGTCGAAGGCTTGATGATGTATTGTGTGTTCTCGCCGAGTGGTTCACATGGATGCGCGACATCACGTTCCAGCAACAATGTCTAAAATATGAACTCTATCAAACGCTGCACACTATTCCCTTGTGACACTGTACTTTCCATTTCGCAGACCCTGGCGTTGACCAGCGTCAACGATTACAGCAAACATCGGGAAGCTGCTTTAGTTTGTCGACACGTACCACTCCTCCAACGCCTGCCACTATCCCCAAGACGTAGAAATCATGACCTTCCCCATAGCGACCCTACTTCATCCCGTCGTATCACAAGCCCTGGCCGAAGCCGAACAAAAAGCGAAAAACGGTATCCTGGAGACTCTACCCGAACACCGAACTATGGCCCTACGACCCGAAGAGAACACTAGCGGCCCTCTCGTAGTCATCACACCCACGTCCCCTATATTACCGGAACAGAACGGGCTACAGCCACCACTATCTCCGTCTATGAGCCCAGCAAGCGAGACACACACAACTACTTCCGTAGCCCTTACACCAGACGCCGAATTCCTCATCATCGAAGCCGAACTCGCAAACTGCCAACTGACACGCGAAGCGCTACAAAGACGCGAATCCGCACTCAAAGAACGTAAAGCAGAGATCGTACGAGAAACAAAGATGAGGCTTGACAAGGAGGTGCGAGAACTGGCAACGCAAGGCCAAGAAGAAGAGGTCGATCAGGGACTATTCATGCGCGATGTGCAAAGAAGAGTAGAGGTTAATCTGAAGAAGGCAGATGAGAAAGATGAAGCTCCACCGGAGAAAGTGGACCAAGCAGAGCAAGTGGAAGAGAAGAAAAATGTCCCCATAAGTGCGCCAGAGCGGAGGAGACTTGCGCGTCTTGCACTGTTGAAGCAAGACCCTAGACTAGGAAGATAATGTTGGTATGGATGCTTAACTACGTTCCTTACGTCCATGTGCTCACAATGCTAGTCATGCCACACTGATATGCTGGTGTTCTCATACACACATCTCTCCCAGTACACCACTCATTCAAGAGTGAAGTACTCCGCGATCTCTGGGAAAAGCCTGCCCATCCTCTCCGCTGTGATGCTGTCCACCTTGAGAATTGGATCGAGTGTGTACGTAAGCCACAGTATCTTCATGTTGAGACAGGTCATGGCGCGGGCTTGTATGGAGACTTCGCCTATTGTATCTTAGCAAGAATGAGAGATAGAGCGGAAGTGCCTCACGTCTGTGATCTGCAGCAGTGTTCTCGATGATTTTGTTGAGATCCATAATCTCGTCTTGCAACTTTGTGAGTTGCTGACTGTAGTGATAGTTTGCATCGCGTTGTGCGGTGGTGGGTGCGACTGGGTGACCTGATGAGGACATCGTGTGCAGATGGGTATTATTGGATGAACTGATTTGGGGACAGAATCGAATGTATTGCGCTGATGTCACAGCGGGTTATCACATCGCATCGAAGACTCATGTACCACTTCGAAGTCATGCGCTAACACCGATACGAAGGCGGCAGAGGCTAGACACAATGTGAAGACTGTATGATTGATCACACAAACTCTCTTGCTCCGCTGTACTGATCGACATGCTTGTGGGTGATGTTAAGATGCTTGAACGTAATTCAAGTACAGCATCGCTGGCCGAGTACCGTTCGCTCCATACTGGAATGCTCGCGTGTTGATCAGTGTGCCGTTCAGCTATGCAAACACCTTCCCCCTTCCATATCGCCAAGTACGCATATATCCTCTTGCCATAGATGTCATCAACAACTACCATCACTCTACCACACTTCTTGCGCGACAAGCCTTGACATATACCCAGCGCCTAAGCATCAATTACTCGACAGCCACCTCGATCTGAACCTGCCACACCAGATCATCACACTCAAGTCACTAAGAATGTCACACAACACCCCCGACAACCTCCTCAAGCTCGCCGCCGACCTGAACAAACTCGGTGGAGAACTCTGCGCCATCGGCGGCAAGCTAGCAACGGCCGCCACAACTCTTGAGCAAGAAGCTGCGAATGTTGCTCTTGCCAACGCGCAACGATGGGGCGTCGATGTACAGGTATGCGTTCACTAGGAACAAGTCTTCGGGGTCATGGTACAGTTGATACTGACATAATGCGCAGGTCGCCGTGAGAGCTGGGCCGCATGGTCAGTGGGTGGGCCAAGGGAACGAGATCGTTGTTAATGGAATGAAAAAGTAGTTGTAGTGCTGAGTGAGAAATGCGTTGTAAGAGGGGAGAGAGGAGCTACGGCATATGCATGTGGAAGGCGCGGGGTTGAACATCAGTCAGGCGCGATGGTGCGCACCGAGCTGTGTGGTGCGGAAGGAGAAGCGGAGAGCGGCGACAACACTCCTTGTAGATCAGTGTAACATCAATCTCATTTCAAGATCCTCTGGCTCCTTCGCAGCCATCGTGATGTTGCATAGAAGCGAACGCAGATTGTGGATAAGACTTCTCCCCGCATGCCGGGTCCCATTACCCCTCATGCCTCATCCGGGATCTAGCGTTGCAGAGTTTTATCAGATCATCAGATAAGATGCGACACCGGACGCCCGAACAGCCACTCATAGCTCAAGACCAGCTCCGAACCATCTCCAGCCTATATCGCTCATGTAAACTTAATGTTGTACGCGTAGACACATTCGACGCGACTGGCTGCACCAGAAATGGCGGTCTGTCTTCGGAGGACGGAAGCTTAGGTTCGGCGGTGGTGTGATTTCGCCCATGCCCGGAAATTGACGAGCCAAGCTGCGGAGCTGAGCACGGGCGGACGTGCATTCGGTACAATCCTGAAAAACTCATTTACAGATAGCGGAACTCTGAGGGTCGTCACATGAAGGCAAAGGTGTGAATTGAGAGGATATCATTTGACCCTTGGTTGGGTTCGTTGAAACATGTAGTCATTAGTCTAAGTCCGGGCTGCAGTAGCCATGCGATATGATACAGAATGCAAGAAAGTGAAGAGTGTGTAACCGTCCACTCGTCGTTATTCATAGCGACCGTCAAAACCCTCAAGTTGTGTTCTCGTTACGGATGAACGACCATGCGAAACAGGATACAGACACTCTCGCATATCAACGCCGCGGATTGCTGGCGGAACCGCTAAAGGTGGGGGTATCTGGCAAAGCAAAGACAGGAGGGCGCTATCAGTGGTCGATATTGTAGTGAGAGACTGCGTCCATCATGGCGTGATCCTCGGCCTTGGTCATGGGCGAGAAAGAAGCTCGGCGCCGTTCCTCGGCCTCTTCGATCAGCGGCGCATGTGGGCCGTCAGACGGGCGGGTCCTGAGAGGACGCTGGGCGTGTTGGAGGGTAGTGAGGATGCTGCTGGCGTCCAGCTCCATCGCGCTGTACATGCCGGGTTCCATAGTGAATGTGTCCCTGCGAGTGTCCTGGCGTCCGAAAGCCTGCGGAACAGGCTTTAGTTGGCGCCAGTCCATGGCATTCGGATCCGTCGAAACTCGACCATCAAGTAGCTTGAAGGCATCGCTACAACCGACTGTTCGCCCAGTACCCACAGGCGACGAAATGCCGGCGCTCATGTCTATGCTGGTCGATGCCTTGGGTTCCATAATATCGAGCGAGCTGCTCTTGCTTGAGTTGCGCCGTGAGCTCGAAGGGGTTTCCTCGCTCCGGAGCTGAGCGACTCGCTGACACCAGGCTCGCTGCTGGGGGTTTGACTGACAGTCGGCACAAGAGCCAGGTCCGGTCATGGCCATGTTGGGCTTCGCTTCTTCAGCTGAAGAACCACTCTTCATGCGCGTGAGTGAGATGCCCTCATCGGCGCTGTCAACACGAGCAGGGGGATCGCATATGCAAATGTCCTTTTGTCCCTCGCAGAAGCCACAGTCTGTAATCTTGTTGTCCTCCGTCGATGGTGCGAATGTAGATGCGCTCTTGAACTTGTTGGTGAAGTCGACTTCGAACTCGACGTGGGGATGCTTCTCTTGGTCGAGTTCTCCTTGGCCGCCGCGAAGTACTCCAGTCATGGACATGCCGTCCATACGAGCCGAGGCCTCGTCCGGGAGTTGCATATCATTGGTGAGGTCGGCGAGACAGGCGCAATGTTCAGGCGTGCAGCGATCGCATCCTGATTGCGTGCTCTCGAACGGTGCGTCGTGGCGTGCGCTACGGATTTGAACGAAGTTCGGCATGGGATGCATGGGAGCAAAGTCCTCCTCGTAGTTTGGCGTGCAAACGTCTTCGCCTGCTCTCACTTTCTGGTACATATTCCTCCACATAATTTTTTGGGCGTCACTTGTGCGTAGACGCTCTGTCAGTATCTGGATTTCTTGTGCTTGAGCCCGTGCTCGGTCTTCCAGAAGCTGTTTTTCCCGTAGCCATGTGTTGCGGGCATCGTTGAATTCCGTACTGGTCTGGTTGACCTGTTCGAGCAGCATTTGCACATTCTTCTGCTTGCGTTCACGGAAGTTGCGCTGTGAGATGCGGTTCTGGGCCTTGCGCTTGGTCTCGGGCTCCGCGGTGGCAGGCTTGCGGCCGGGCTTGGGTCTGGGCGGGATGGAATGTATCATGCTCGTAGGCCCCCCGCCCGACTGGGAGGGGCCATTGGCGTGCGTGTTGACGGACAACGTGGCGGCGACGTGAGGGCGTGGAGGGGACCTTGGTACGAGTTCTGGGTCGGTGTCAGTTGTGGAAGTGGGCAAGGGTCGATCACGCGGTTGGACAAGTCTGGCAGCCAACAGCCGCGGCGAACTGCTGGTACGCGGGACACGCGGAAAAAGCAATCACGTTACTCACGGCGGATGGAGCTGCGGCGGTCTTGTTCAAAATCGGCAGTGGTGCAGAAGGTGCTTCCCGAAGACTCGGCAGGCGATGGCGCAGGACTGCAATCTGAGCCAGGTGTGGCGGCATTGTTCGACGAGGCCATGTTGCGCGGCGGAGCGTAGGGTGCGTCGGGGATCTGGTTATCAGATGGAGATCCTGAGTTATCAGATCAGCGGGAGTCTTATCCCGAGCAAAGCCGAGTCCGGAGCGGAACGGATCAACTTACCGGCGGCGCTAGGGTGGACATCGTCGGACTTGCTGGGGAAGGGGAACGGGAGATACGCGTGGTACCCGTTTTCCGAAAAAGACTCGTACTCCATGATGGGCAATTATCTTAGAGATGTTAGAAATGTTAGCGAACAAGAATGAAAGAGATAGGCAGTCAGTCTTTATAAGGCATCTGTCTCGCTTAGCATTCGTTACTTCCCTTTTACCAGTCACCCAGAGTTAGTCGCTACTATCATAAATTAACGGTCGCACGTGGTTTCCTCCCGAATTAATGCCTCACAAATATGACTGAACTAGGGTAGTCAGTGCAGTCAACCACGGCATGGTCCAGCCCCCACTCCAAGTATTTGAGCATATTTGCCAGGCCTCCCTTTTGCAATCTAGAATTACTGGCAATTGTTTCGGGCTTCACGTCACCCTAGGAAAAACTGAACACCTGGAGCCTACATCGCCGTCAGGTCAGCTACCTTGCATGTATTCATCTTGATGTAGTCTCCAGACATGTTCAAGTTCAGTCTGGGCTATTCAAAAGGTATCATTACAACGTACTCACATCACATGAACACATGGCTATGATTTCAGGCAGCAACACAATCAATTGACGAAAAATCTCATTGGAGACACACCCAGGGTTGCATTACAGCAGCGAATGCAAAAGATAACCCCTTGTAAATCCGCAAGCATTCTGGCATGGTGGGCCGCACCGAGAGCACGCAACACGATCGGCAAAGTCATGCTCTGAGAAACTGGAGACGAGTTACTGGCTACAGCTTTCACAGATCCACCTAGCGCTCTACACCCTAGCGAGAACCATGGGATAACCCTGCAGGCCCGTGGCTTTGGAGAGAAAGATCGAATCACAGGAAATTCAGGGCGCATCGGCCATATAC